AACAGGATTCAGGAACTAGGAAAGAGAATTGAATCGTATATCAGGGTTAAATAGGGCCAGAGAGAACACTTTAGTGACTTTTTACAAAGATTAACTAAAGCTGTACAAGTAGGAGTCACAGACCCAGAAGCTAGATGTGTACTTATGCATCTTTGGCTTTTGAAAACACCAACTTAGAATACAAAAAGATACTTGGACCTTTAAAAGTCAGATCAGCACCAATAGATGAATAGATCTTGCATACAATGAAGCTGAGACATTTGACTATAGTACTGAAACTTGGGTAGGAGAAGAGATTTTCAATAGCGTGAGGAGACACCAAAATACCAAATGTTTTAATTGTGGTAGAATAGAACATCTGAAAAGGGACTGTGGAAAAGGAATTCCTAGGAATAATATCTCCTCTGGGAATAGCAAGAATAGGCAGTCTCAGCCTTCTGGAATATGTAGGAGGTGTTTCAAAGGCCAACATTGGACCAATGAAAGTAGATCAACAAAAGACAGACAAGGTGACCTGATACCATTGGAAAACTCCTTGTGGGGGGCTTCTTACAGGCCCCCATGATGAACATGGTCCAATCATTCCTAGTCACTGTGGAGAACATGGCTCACCAGGAAAAATTAAAAATCCAGTGCCTACTGTGAAAAAAAAACAATACTCTGGAAGATGGAATAGACATGGAGGATGAATCAAAAACTTTAGTAGGAAATAGGAAGCATGTATTTTGGCAAACTTCTATAAATGATCAAAGACAAAAGCTAAGAGTGCATATAAATAACATTGTAATTGAGGAATTATTAGACATGGATGTAGATGTGATTATCACTACCCCAGAATCTTGGCATCTGAATTGGCATCCAGATTCAAGAGGCAGATGTTCAGTTCCTAGGAATTGGAACCCTATCTCAAGTGAAACAAATCACAAGATGGGTTGAATGCTTAGGACCAGAAGGACAGAAAGGAAGGCTGAGGCTAATATGTAGCTAATATTGCAATGAATTTATGGGTCATGACCTGTTATAGCAATGGAATACCCAGATTAACATTCATACAGTCCCAGAAACATGAGTTTCTGGGAAGGACATTATAAAGTATTATAAATAAAGGTCACCAGCCATTCAGGTCATGCAAGAACACAAAGCAACTAGCAAAACTTTAGAGGTACCAACAGCTCTACCTTTAAAATGGTTAACTGAGAAACTAATATGGGTTAAACAGTGACCTTTAATAGAAGATGAACTGCAGACTTTAGAACAGCTGGTACAAGAGCATTTATTAGATGCTTAACATATTGAAGAATCAACCAATCCTTGGAATTCTCCTGTATTTGTTTTTAAAAAGAAATCTGGAAAGTGGAGAATGGTGACAGATCTAAGCGCTTTCAACAAGGTAATTCAATCTATGGGTCCGCTACAATCTGGAATTCCTCTACCTTCTCTATTACCAAAAGGATAACCTCTCATAGTTATTAATTTAAAAGATTGTTTCTTCACTATACCTTTACAAGAAAATGACAGAGAAAAAAATGCCTTCACAGTGCCTACTTATAATAGTTCTCAGTCTACTACAAGATACCAGTGGACTGTCCTCCCACCGGGAATGCTCAATAGCCCCACCCTGTGCCAATACTTTGTAACTCAGTCACTGAAAATAATACATAAGCAATTTCCTAAGTCTATAATTTACCATTACATGGGTGACATTTTGCCATCTGATTCAAATGCAAATATTTTAGAAAGAATGTTTGAAGAAGTAAAGGAAATTTTGCCTCGATGGGGATTACAAATTGCTCCTGAAAAATTACAGAGAGGAGATTTAGTCAATTACTTAGGTTATAAAATAAGTTAACAGAAAATTAGAATGCAAAAGACACAAATTAGAAGAGACTGATTGCAGACTCTTAATGACTTTCAAAGATTGTTAGGAGACATTTGTAGTCTATGACTGCAATAACACCTGATCTAATAATTCATTTAAACAAAACCTTAAAAGCTGGCTTTGGAGTTGAACAATGGCTATCCTTCTCTAAATCCAAGCATGTTGCAAAAGAAAAATTCAAAATTTCTGTCTCATGTCAGGAGACACCTGGTATGGGACAGAAAGAAGAAAGATTTTAGGAATTATTTTACTTTTCTCCATACCTATTTTGTCTATATTGTATCTCTCATTGAATATATGTCTTTATGAATATTGTTTAGGCTTTCCACAATGAACAGTAGATTTTTCTGTAATAATCTTTGAAATTTCCAGAAAGAATATGGGGCCCCACAACAACGACTCCACCTGATTGATATGGCATCGTGATGCTGGCAGGGCTACTTTAAGACCAGTTTTGGGTACCAGCTGCTCAAGATGGTTCCAGCTTGGTTAGCTAAAATGGTGCACCTTCTTAGAACATTCTGGCCAGAACTCCAAATATGAACCTTAGAAAAACCCTACCAACTACTCAGAGACTATTTGCAATTATACAGACAGTAATCTTGGAACTTAACCATCATTTTAGTTTCACAGGATCCCATAGAAAGAATATCACTCTCATGACAGCTGAAGGCAATTCTAGAAGACAACTTCCCCTCTCCCAACAAAGTTTGTCCTCAGGGTTAGGGATATCAATTAGGGGTTGATTATAACTGGTATAGGTTGGGGGTTGGAGTGAAAATTATGTAGGCTCAGAGATCTCTTTTAGAAAAAAAGGGAAAATTGAATGGGATAATAGGTAGATTAGTGTGAGCTTGCTCACACTATTAACAATAATAGTGAGTAATAGAGAGAATACTTGTGAGCTGTTATTTATGGAAAATTTACATTGGTATAAATTTTTACACATTGACACAAGTTCAAATTTTATTTGTTATATTGAATATGCTTATATTTCTGTTTACAATATTTTTACACCTAGGTGGAGTTATTTTCTCATATTGTATGCATGCATGTTTCTACCTCTGCTTAAGATATTCTGTATATTGATACAACTTTAGAATGTATTTATCATATTGCACTATACATTTATACCTCTGACTAAGATACTTATATATTGTTTACATTTTGAGGTCATTGTCCTCATTTGCTGCACAGTTGCTTAAAGATTGTTTAATATTCTAATATGAAGTCTTAGTCTTTAAACTATATAAGTATTAAGTATTATTATAGGTCTATAATCATTCATGTTTGTCATACTTATAATTAGACTAATCACATTCTTTAGATACATAGAGATTGTATTCCACATAGATAATCTTCAACCACTTCAAAGAGCTGTAGAATACGGCATTTAAATAACTTAAAGTTTTGTTGACGCATGACACGATTGCTCCTAGCAGCACCGACCTATTCCTGAGAAAATGTTGAGCACCAAAGACACTCCACTTGGAGCTTGTTTTCTTCTTGGCAAAACTGGCCTTTGGGCAAGAAACAGTTGTCTCTGTCATCTCCTGTACATTTTGGAAGCTTCTTGATTACACTTCCTACCTACTCAAGTAATATTATCTCCCTTCTCAGGCTTTCAATGGGGTTGAAGATTAGATAGTCGTAATTACTTCCCTCTTATGATTTAGCCAAGCCATTTCTAATATAAGACTAGACTCCTTAGGATAGAATGATTATTGAAACATTTAGCATACGTTCCTTGCTTAATATTGTTTATGCTGGTTGTAATTCTAATTTTTATAGTTGATATTTGTCATTATTGCATAAAGTTTTGTTTTAGGCTTAGAACTCTTTTATTTAAACAAAAGGGGGAGGTGCTGTAGGAACTCCTTCAGCCAATAGTCTTTAAGATACCAGCCCATTTGAGTGTAGCCCCTTATACTGTAAATGCCTACGTAAAGCTTGCTCTTGCTCTCTCCTGGCTTATAGATTTGGTAATTGGAATAATTGGATACTCAATTCTGAGCTAGTGTAGATTGTTTTATAACTTCCATCTTCAGTTCTATACTCTCCCAACAGCGGGTTGTAAAATGTTCAGGTTGTAGTGTCAGCACTTGTCTTCAGAGTGTCTCGAAAGACAGGCTTCACCCTTCGGCAGGGCTTTCTGAAGCAGTGTGTGTTGACTGCCATTTGTGAGGCAAAGTCATTTGGTTTTGCAGACTGCTTGAGTGAACATGATGGTAACTGCTGCCAATTGTGTTAGATATAGTTCAGTTAAAAATGCTAACCAAAAACAAACAAACAAACAAACAAATTATAGCACATTTTCTAATTGGTCTTAATAGCAAAAACCCAGAATCTGATATTAGGGGATGAAAGCTAAGAGATCAGAAAATCAGAGCAGTCAGCCACTAGAGAGACCTTTTACCTCTACCAATTCCTCAGACTGAATATCCAGGCTGCATGCTGCCTCAACAAAACCTCAGGCTGTCCTGCTGCTCAGACTGCCTGTACAGACTGAATGCTCCTCACATGACTGCCTCAGACTGCACTGAGCTCTTGTCTCCTCCCACCTTGTATTTCTCTCTCTTCCCAGCCGTTTCATTTCTGTCTCCACCTCCCTAGTGCTGGGATTAATGGCATTGGATCACAAGTGCTGGGATCACCTTTGTGTGAGCTCTGTTTCTCTTTTAGACTGGATCAATTTCATGTAACCCAGGGGGACGTTGAACTAACAGATCCATCTGCCTCTGTCTCCCAAATCCTGGGATTAAAGGTGTGTGCCACAGTGCCCAGCCTCTAGTGGCTTAGTTCTGCACTCCGATTTGCAGGCAAGCCTTATTTGTTAAAACATACACAAAATATCACTACAACAAATTGTCACCTTGAAATTGCTTATTATTTCAAAATTTCACTTTTTTTTACCAGAGAAGTGGAAAAATTCAAAATATATTGGCTAAACCAACTACAAATACCAAATAGATTATGATCAGTAACTACCATGAAAATAGCACCATTGCCACTCGCTTTCCCACCTTCCACCAGGGCTTCTGGTCTCCTCTGTCCTTTCCTATGACTACTTGGAGGGGACACTGATCCTTAAAAGGAACCATTTCTGTGGTTTTGTTTTCAGAGTTCCAAGCTGAAAGGCTATCAGAAAAGAGACGTGAAGCTTGGAGGCCTGGGACCTGACTTCGAGTCTGTCAGAGACAAAGTAAGTGGGGTGTGTCATTTTCAGACTTGGTGTCCTCTACCTTTCCTTAGCAATATGGGGTGGGGGATGCACTCTGGCATCAAACCCAGTGCAAACATCTGGCACTGAGTAGACACCCCTCAGAAACAACCATGCTGACACAATGGAGACCCAGCTACTCCTGCTGAAAAAGAAAATTCTTAGCCTGTGTTATTTTATGCCCTGCCTTTCAGTTCGATCTGAAGAGTGGGGTGCGAGAGTGTGGAAAGGGATGCATGTGCTGTGTGGTTGTTGGTCTCGCTGATAGAGTTGTCCTGATAACTTTGAAGTGGCCACAGAGACGACACTTAGGATATGAGTTCCCAGCCCCGAAGAAATGCATCCACTTTACTCTCTTTCCTCTAGAGAAAGGAGATCTTCTTGTAATGTGTTTGAACTGCAGTTGCACTCAGGCATAAAAAGAGGATAGTTCAAAGTTGGAAGCAAAAATGAAAATAAATTGGGTAAATGCAACAAAGAAGAGACTGAATAGGGTTTAGCCTCTGTTAAGAGAGCCTGGGGAGGGCCGCTGCACTCACAATGGATTCTCCGGGGAAATATTAACCAGTTCACTGCTGCCACCTTACACAAGTCACCCTCCTGAGCTGCCCACCTCGGTAAAACCAGTGTCACTGGGAGAATTAGCAGAGATTAGCTCACTTTGCTCCATTTCTCTGAGCAGATGCAAAAATTAATGCAGCAGAAAGCATACGCAAAGCAAGTCCAGGAATACAACATGAAGACACTGTCTGTTCTGTCCAAACCACAGACAGCAAAACCTGAAAGTAAATCAGTGATTTCTCGGCAGAAGGTAAGGAGCTCGCATTGGGGCGCGCACTGCTTCCGTCAGAATTAAACAGAAACTTTGGTCACCACCTAACCTCAAACAATGTGTCTGGAGCCAGGCGTGGTGGTGCACGCCTTTAATCCCAGCAGCAGGTGAATTTCTCTGAGTTAGAGGCCAACCTGGCCTAGAAAGCAAGTTCCAGGACAGCCAGTGCTGCTATGCAGAGAAACCCTGTGGGAGGAGGCGGGAGGTGGGAGATGTGTTTGGAACATAGGAGACGTTTAGTCATTTACATGTTATCCACTAACACACAAACACACACACACACACACACACACACACACACTACTGTTAGGCAAGTATGTTGTCTTAGTTTTATTACATGTGAAAATAACAAAATTATTTCTCATCAGGAGCTAGCAGTCTGGATTAACTATTGCTTTCATTCTTTATAATTAAATTACTTTCAAGGAAATTAGCATCCTCATGTTGTTCATGCAAAATAAATTTTTAAAAATCCTCATCGTTTCTTTTAAGTTCTTTTTGCTATGCTTTTCCAGGGAGAATGTATGGACTCCTCTGGTGGAAAAAAAATTTTTTTAATCTACAGAATGTGTGTTTTCTGAGCTGTCATCTAACAAAGACTTGGGATGGAAACGAAATATGTGCTGTGGAGCCCCTCTGCCACCCGCTGCCTGCCTCAGCTGGTACTTTCAGTCCCATACAGCCATGGGGACTCCTGGCAGGAGAAACAGCCGATGTTTTGGTGCCTTTAGAACATGTGCTACCTGTTCTTGGCCACCAACCATCATATTAACTCTTCCTCAGACTGTGACAGCCTCGATTTCCACCCCGCTGCATTTTCATGCCAATCCCACAGTGACAAATCCACGAGAGAAGCGCCGTGCCTCTCTCTTACATAAGTGTAAAAGGTGAACGTTTTATGCTCTGGTGTTTTTTCCCTTTCTGGTGCTTGGAAATCTATCCATTCCCATTTCAGTTGTCAATAAATTCGTTTTTTAAAAAGATCTATTTATTTATTATGTATACAGTGCTCTGCCTGCACACCAGAAGAGGGCACCATGTGGTTGCTGGGGATTGAACTCAGGACCTCTGGAAGAGCAGTCAGTGCTTTTACCCTCTGAGCCATCTCTCCAGTCCCAATAAAATCTTAAAAAGCAAAGCTTGGGGCTGGGAAGGTGGCTCAATGGTTAAGAGCACTCACTATTTTTACAGAGGACCCAGGTTCAGTTCCCAGCACCCATGTGGTTGCTCATGACCATCTGTAACTCCAGTCCCATAGGACCCTCCTCTTCTGACATCTGAGGGTGCCAGGCATGTATGTGGTGCACAGACATGTATGCAAGTAAAGCACTCATACACATAAATCTAGCAATGAAAGCTTAAAACTGCAAAACCAGTATAAATTCTGTTGGATTCTCCTGTCTCCCCACTCTGCTCCTCTCCCTCTCTTCTGGCACCCTAACAGAGCCAAGGGCCATGTTCATGCTGGCAAAGGCTCTGTTGTTGAGTGGCATCCCTAGGCCAACTGGTCCCATTTTTATCATAACTTCACCTTTAAAATATGGCATCTGTTTTTAAAAACCTGTATTTTCAGCATCTATTTTCTATAGATACACTTAAAAATACCCAACTTTTCTTTCAAAGAACAATGGGATGTAATGAACAAGGTGGAGTTTTCATCAACTACAGTGTTGTCTTCAGTTTCCGAGTCCTTCAGCTACAACTCCACTCAAGATAGAAAGACCTGTTGATTCTATTGGAATCTTGGTTTTAACAAGACTCTCAGAGAGTTGGCCCAATAGACTAATGAGAAATCTGCTAGCAAACACTTAAAAGAAATCTGCCACGGTAAAAACATCTGAGTAACCTAACAGCTGTCCAAATCCCTCTCCAGCTCCTTTTTGCTCCACAACGCCTTGTTTAGTGACAAACTTACTTTGTGTAAACTACGCATAATAACATGTTATCTGCATTCAGTCTGTCATTTCTGCCCATAATTACCACAATCTCCATCGCTATCATAACCTCTCCTAAGACTAACTTCCCTCTTTAAATGGTGTTTTTTCGATTTATGCCCCCCAGGCTTTGGAATATGCTAAAACCATCCCCAAACCCAAACCACCAAGTCTGATGGATCAAGCACCAAAGAAAACTAAGAAGACACAGAACAGTGAAAAAGAAGGAGGCTTACCAGAAATCTCCCTGCTGGAGATCCTGCAGAGCAGGCACGAGAGAGAAAAGCAGGCCGTGGCCGCTTTCAAAGTCCTTCACATTGTCTAGACAGCGTTTGGTGGGGATCAGAACTGCCATGAAAGAGACACGGAGAAACGAAACAATTCCATCTACACTGAGTGGCAACCCGGCACTGTCAGCTGCCGGCCGCCTTTGTCTGCTCTGTACAGAAGTTATTGTGGGGCCCAGGCAGACACTGGGACGTGTTTAACCTTCTGGATATGAAAATACGTACAATTATTTATTTTCCAATCCTTTAGAATTTGGACTAATAGAGAGCTAGACAATAAAGCCGTTGGTTTACATTGGGTCTTTTGCTTTGTTAACTACCTCTGTCCTTCTTCCACATAAGGAAAATTTACAAGTCCCTCCAAATAAATTTGTCTGTAAGTCTTTCTCTACCCACCTGAGACAGAATGTACCGACTTAGTTTTTCCTAACATGAGTTTAGCTGACCTAGCCACGAAGGTAATACTTTGGCTTTCAAGTTTTAAAAAGTCTATTGCATAAAAGTGGAAAATTTGAAGATATGTCTAGACATGCATATTGAAATAGGGAAAAAAGGTCCTAATTTTATACCAACAGAACACTAAGATATTAGTCACAGATCCTACAAGTCCAGGGAAACCCACCCCAGATCACTATATGGTCAAAGCCATCATTAATTCCATGGCCATGAATATCCTGGACATTGTCTCTCATTGTGGCTATCTTTAAATATTATCAGATGCATGCACATCAGAATCTACTACTAATGTAAATATTCATCCTCTCTTTTGTTTTTCTCCTTTGAAACATTATCATGAGTATCAATCTTAAAATTACTAAAAAAAAAATCAGGAGTGATCACCTATGATTATAATCTCAACGCTTGGGAAGTTGAGGCAGGGAGGGCGGGGGTGTGTTTCAAGTTGGAGTCTGGCCTGATCTAAATAGTCATCCATGGCGTTAAGGTTCAGTGGAATGTCACTACGCCACCACGGTCCAGACACAGAGGAGTCAGCACAGTGAAGAACAAACGCTTTGTATTTCCTTCTGTGAGCAGTACAGTATTGATTTTATAAACCCAAGTGATTCATTTTATAGCATTTGTTGAGAAACTCGAAAAAAAAAAAAAGAACCTCCCTATTGGAAGTCAGCCGTGTGAACCAACATGGCATCAAAATCCTCTATGAGAACACATGGAGGGCTGGCAAGAGGCTTAGCAGGTAAAAGCGCATGCCATATAACCTGGCAGCCTGGGTTCAATCCCTGAAGCCCATGGTGGAAGGAGGGAACTGACCCCTGAATGTTATCCTCTGACCACATGCACACTGTGCCATTAACACACCACACACACACACACACACACACACACTGACAAAATATCACAACCTAGGAAATCCTTGAATTTTGATGAAACAAGACAGTTGAGGACTAGAAGAAAAGAACAGAAGCAAGGAAGAAAGGGAGGGAGGGAAGGAGGGAGGGAGGGAGGGAGGGAAAGAGGGAGGGAAGGAGGGAAGGAAGGAAGAAAAGAAGGAAGGAAGGGAGGAAGGAAGGAAGGAAGGAAGGAAGGAAGGAAGGAAGGAAGGAAGGAAAGGAAAGGAAATCTGGACTTGAGTGATATCATGAGGAAGACAGCAGGGTCCTGGGGAGGATGCATTTGACCAGATGTTATATGAGCCATTGAAAGGCATAGGACAGATAATTCTGCCTGGTCTCTGTGAATTGGTACAGATAAAGGCTCTTTAAGCCCCATGCCTTCTCCTTAGCACAACCTCCTTTTTGACAGTGCTTTTTCTAAAGTTTCCACAAGAGCAGGCTCTTACATGGAGCCTTTTATTTTTTACAAGTAGCTGAATTTAATGACAGCTGTCTTCTTGATATTGTTTTGTGCCGTAAGGAGTCTCTTGGGACTTATCCAGAAACCAAGTCAAGAAAAGACAGTATCGAGGAACAAAATAAAAGGTAATCCCAGGAAAGGCAATGATGCCTAATGGGTCCAATTGGGGCTTATTATTGGTTAATGAATCATTGTCAAAACATCACAGCAAGCATGAGCGTGCACAGTCTCATCTACAGTGAGAAAATGACTCTTCATCCCTACAGTTATTAACTGGGAGTTGTTTGAAAACACGTCCAGTAATTATAACAACACTGGAGCTAATTGAGAACTCTGAGTTGACAGCAAACAGCCCACAATAGCAAACTCGGTCAACTCAGACGGGGTTTCTTTACTAATTACTTACTGAAAAATAGCAGGGAAGGAAATTGAATTTGGGTGACAGACTGCAGGTATCAAGCTTAACTAAATCTCCCTAAGGTACATACATGTGGATCATATACACAACTGTGACTTATGTATCATGATTTAATTGCTGTCTCCAGTGTGGTCTTTTTTAAGATTACCGCTCCCTAACATGCATTTCAGCCAACTCTCAAGCATCCGTAGGCATAGGGCAGCTCACTCCTAAGTCTCTGTACGGTTTCATAGTTTTGGTTCCCAACGGGCAGAAACAGAAGTACACAAATGCTCCATCTACTTTTTTGTTATGTTCCCGGGAAGGAAAGGATTGAAAACTGTAGCCACAAAGTGAAGTCTCTGCTTTGGGGCAGATTTTGTTGGTCTCAGTGGTCACTCACTACATCAGTGATTATAAAAAAAATGTTCTATAATGTCAAATAAAACAAAACTATTTCTATACTTTAAAGGGACAATTAGGGTAAAACAGACTGTCTTTGTTGGGGTTTCTATCGCTGTGAAGAGACACCATAACCACAGCAACTCTTTCAAAGGAAAGCATTTAATTGAGGCTAGCTTACAGTTTCAGAATCTGAGTCCATTATTTTCACAGCAAGTAGCATGGCAGTGTGCAGATGGACTTGGTGCTGGAGAAGGAGCTGAGAGTTCTACATCTTGATCCACAGGCATCAGGGAAAGACTGTCCCACACTCGGTATAGCTTGAGCATATAAGTCCTCAAAGCCCACCTCCACAGTGACACACTTCCTGCAACGAGTCCATACCTACTCCAACAAGGCCACAACTCCTGAGAGTGCATTTTCTATGGGCCAAGCATTCAAACATATGAGTCTATAGGGCCATTTCTATTCAAACCACCACATAGACACTCTTTAAAAAGTTACATTTAGGGCCAGGGGAGATGAGTCAGTCCTAAAGTGGAGGTCTGGGTTTGGATCCCCAGTACCCACACATCTGTAACCCTAGCACTGTTGGGATGGGAGAGGTAGAGCCCTGGAGCTCAATGGACAGTCAGTCCAGTAGAGTCACTGAGCTCCACGTTCAATGAGAAGCCAGAACAACTGAGGAAGATACCCAATACCACCCTTCTCGTGTGTGTGTGCGTGCACGTGCACACACACCCCCAACACACACCACTCAAAGTTATGTGTAGTTTATTCTGCTTTTAAAATTTTACCAAGAAGTCACTCTGCATGACTGAAAGCCAGCGGTGTTCAGAACTGTCCCCTCCCCCACAGCCTCCACACTGAACATAATGTCCACGTCTACTCAGTGGCTTCCTTTAGCAACAGCATACATCCTTCTCACAAAGGGACTGGGAGAACGTAAATAACCCGTTTCTTGAGCAAACAGCTTGTAATAGCAGACTGTTCACCTTTCCATCTCACTTCCTAAATCATGCCACTGGCTGAAACAGCCCCATATTTCACTGCTGATGACCGGATTTTGTTCAGAAGAATAACTGAAAATTGGGGCTTCCCAAAGTGCTATAAAAACAATACATTGCAAGACTTAATAAGACGTAGAACGAATAGGCATTTTTTTCAGCTCTCTATCGAGCAATGCAGGGCTCTTTAGAAAATATGAAGAGAGGAAAATTTGGTAGACAGGTTTATGTCTCGTGTTGCCTCTCCATTACCTTTTTATTTCCCCTTTGCAAACCTGGGTCACATAAGTAATTAATTTTCAATAAGCTGGATAAATGGTCTTTGCTATTAGATCGCTCTAACGGGCTGAGAGGACAGCAGCAATGGGGGAATTCTGGGCCAATGTATTTAGTAAGGCCTTGGCAACCCTCCTAAGACTTCATACTGACTTGTCAGTTCCTAGAGGCCAGCCATGATCGTGGGACTCCTGGCCTGCTTTTGCGTTGGTCTTTGTTGCTGTAGTTCCAAGCTTTGTGAACATTTGTGTCTGCACATCCGTGCTCGCATGCAAAAGGCCAGAGCAAGGCATCCAGTGTCTTTCTCTGTGGCTTCTCATTTTATTTCCTTGAGCCAGGATCTCTCACTGACCCTGAAACTCATTGTTTTGGGCCAGCTGCCTAGCCAGTGAGCCCCAGGGAGCTATCTGTTTCTACTCCCTAACGCTGAGGTCACAGGCACAGGCAGTCCCCACCTTTTATGTGGGTACTGGAGATTTGAACTCAGGGCCTCACGCTTGCAGGGCAAGTTCTCTTATCCACGGAACCATCTCCCCAGCCATGAGTCCCAAGTTTGCACACATACCGCCAATGTAACAGTAAAAAAAGAAAATTATCCTTTAAAAACCTGTCTATGCAGAGAAAAGGCTTTATTCAGAGGTTATTCTGAATAAACTCAGTGAAGAGTTCTACAGCGAATAATTTGGGCCCCACTTTTTTCCTTTATGAAAAATTCTCTCCCTATTTAATATTTCACTATAGTCTTTGACATCCAAGCAGTGATCAAAAGAAGGATGCTAAGTCCTGGCTGGCCCTACCTCCCCTTCCCATTCTGTCACCTGGCAGTGAGGTCCATGCCCGTTTTCCCTGCACCCACACAATGCTGACACTTTGAAGTGGTGCAGATGAGGTCCCTAAATTTGTTGTCCCTACTTAAAATTGATAATCTCCTATGTTACAAACCTCAAGCACCTATTTTTAATGAAAGCTTTAGATGAATATCAAAGAACTATTTAGCCGTGTCTAATATTTTAATTAGATTATAGTCTCAATTTAACCCATTAAATCTCCTTTGATGATCCCCATATTTAGTGTTTAGCCTCAGATGCACGAGGTAATGAATACAGGACCTTTTGATTTAATGAGAATTTCGGCTCTTCCAGTCTGCACCTCTATTTTGTGTACCTTTTATTTTGCCGGCTATAGAATTCAGTTAATTGAAGGGGTCTCTCACCATCACACATTAAGGAGTATAAATTAGCATCCCCATTCTGACTGAAAAATGCAGGCGGACAGTTCGGCTTTGATCTGAGGATTGAGCTGAAGAAGGCAGCAGCCCCCTGAAAATGAGCTGATGGCCTTGTTATCAGAGCCAAATACAGATGCGTCCATGTGTCACA